AAAGCCTCATGCCAGGTGTGGGATACCTCCCCTTGAGTTGTTGGTCAGAGGTGTCCCAGAGACCCCCCCCAAACAATACAGGCTATTACTACTGCTCTTGGTTGCTAACCAGAACTAGATGGTTAGACCCTACTGCTGAAGATATCACACTCATTGGTCATAGGACATAGAGAATTCAAGTTGGTACTGATCAGGAAGCTTCCTCCCTGCTGGCTAGCTATTATAGTACCAGAAGGTGCTATGCAGGCTGCTGGGCGGGAAACATTATCAACAGTTTTACCCAGCTGTAAACCTATGAACAGCAATAATGACCAGCATAGAAAGATATGCCCATGGCATGAATGTTATCAGAGTAATAGACTGCTTTCAGATTGGATTTAAGGCCTGCTCTGCAGGAGGAAACACATGCCTAGTACTGAATCTGGCCAAGAACTCACAGTTGAAGAGCTGACAGGCCCCAGAGGTGAACATACAACTATTATTTTGTAAATGGACATAGTATTAAACTGTCTTCTGAATTTGTATCTCTCTACTCATAGGTTAGTGCAACTCTCAGACTTCATCAGAGAAATTTCTCTGTATAGTGGATCACTGTACAGAGAATGTGCACTGTACAGAGAATGTACAATGTAAAAGCTTACAACTAGTCAAAGTACAGAAAACAAGTGACTGTGGGATGCTCAGACACAAATGGGATGTCTATATCACATCTCTTCCCCAAAGTTCAGGGGCCATCACAGTATAGGGGCAGAAAGACTGAAAAAGCAAGAGGTCAGGGAGGATGGGAGCAAAACTGTCTTCTGGACAAGACAAAACCATTGCACTTAGCAACTCACAGTAGCTGCGGTGGCCTGTACAAGCCCAAGCCCCAAGCTGCCAACATTATAGCATGGAGTGGGAAGGAGTTCATGAGCCCCCACCCTAACTGAGGAGCTATGAACAGTTGATGGCTTCTGGGGGAGGGCGAGTCAGATTTCTTCATGGGTGTGGTGTGGTAGGTAGACCACACTGCAGAGGATGGTCCCACACCCAGAAGTACGCAACACAAATTGGAGTCAATGGATTACCAAATTTAAAAAGAGGACATGAAGTTAAGGGGTAGGGAAGTGGGGGTGGATTTAGGAAGAGTTAAGGGGAGCAGTTGGGGATGAATATGATCAAAATATATTGTATGAAATCTTCAAAAAATTAATAAAAATATTTATTTAAAATATACCTAGTTGAGGCTCTATTGGTTGAGTGTTTGTTTTCATATTTTCCTTTAATTCTTTAAACATAGTTTTCTTTAGTCTTGAAAGGACTTTCTATTAGTATCTAGGGACACTAAAAGACTATTCCTTTTTGAAAATTTTATTTTAATTTTGTGTGTGTGTGTGTGTGTGTGTGTGTGCATGAATGCAGGTGCCTGTGTAGATAAGGTGACAGATTCCCTAGAATGGGAGTTATAGGCAGTTATAAGCTGCTGGACATGGGTGCTGGGGACTGAGTTGGGGTCCTCTAGAAGAACAGTAAGCACTGAACAGTGGAGTCATCTCTCCAAACACTATTTCTATTGCTACCTTTGCTTCTGAAATGTAAGTTACACATCTCTGTTTCTTTATATGCCTTATTTTCTTAAATAAGATACTTTAGGTAATGTACTATAGTAACTCTGGATTCTGTCTTTATTCTCTGAACATTGTTCTTGATTTTGTTTGTTTACTAACTTCTTGAGCTAAATTTATTAAATCTGTCTCCCCTGTAGTATATCCTCAGTGATGTCTACTCAGTTTTTAATACCACTTTTAGAAGCCCAGCATTTTAGGGCCTGTCCTCTGTCTAGATAAATGATTAGCCAATGATAAGATAGAAATTATGCTCAAGTACCCTGGGCTACTAGACCTGCATATAATCAGTGAGAGCACATTCAAGGTTTAGGCAGTTTTTAGGTCTGTCTTGACTTTTACTTTCATTAAAAAATGTGTGTGGATGTTAGGGACCTCTCCATTCTGTTACACATATGTGTGACTTCAGCCATGAGCATACTTAGCCCTATAACAACTATTAGTTCAGACTGTTGGTCAAGCTATTGTTTATCTCTGCTCTTCTGTGACCAAGAATACCACTTCCACCGATAAAGCTGCTGAGTGTGGGCATTTCCCATTGTTCCAGATCTTGTGAATACCCTTCAGCTGTGACAACAAAGCTGCCAATCCTCATGGCCACCCCTCTATGCTGACTGAGCTGGAGTGAAAGGTAGGGACAAAGAATGAGCACAACCCCAGAAGAACACTCTGATTCCCATTATTGTCAAAATCCATCAGTTTGTCAGAGATAGATACTTCCCACATTGCTGTACATCTTTGGCTATTTTCCAGAGAGCTAAAAATTTTGTCCACATCAGATATATATGTGCTTTTTCGAGAGAACTTCTAATTTATCCACTGAACTTCTGCTGAACTTTTAATTCATCTACTGCAGGAAGTCCCTTTCAGAAAATTTCCCCTTTTTATTAAAGACCAATTTTAAGAAAAGTTGAGCCTAATTTTGGGAAGCTGAGAACTCTCTTCAAGCTTTAATGATTTATAATAATTATCATCATAATGATAATGTCTAAGAGTTTTAGTCTTTTAAATCTCTTCTATCTGTAAAAACAGGTAGAAAAAATACACTAAAACTAAAATTGATTTGTGCAATTAACTGATTATCACAAGAAATCATCCCTTTGTAAAATAAAAATACTCATAACAAACATTCATTCTCAGGCTAGGCAGAGTATCCTGAAATCACAGCACTTGGGAGGCAAAGGCAGGAAGATGATGCACATAAATTATTCCAGCCAGCCATGGTGAAATAGTAGATCTTCTCTCAAAACAAAACAAAATGTTAATTTAGTCTTAGTGGATAAGATTCATATTTTCTGTTTTTGTATAGTTTTCATTTTAACATTAAGCTTATAGAAGAGCTACCAGCCAGATGACATAACATTATAATGACAGTCTTAGATGAAGGAATAGATACAACAACTTAATTTTACAACTAAATGGCTTTAGTTAATGTAACAATAAGAGCATTAGTAGCTAAAATACCATCTATGCTGCAATTATGCTCCTTTCTATAAATAAAAATATCTATGGTGACATACAATTCATGTATTTATGCCAAGATAGTTACCAAAACAGTATGTGAGGGGAGAGTTTTTCATGCCCTTTAAGAATAACAGTATACACCAAATATAAAGTATGGTTCATCCCCATCACTAAAAAATCATTTCCTTCTTCCAGCAACCTCAAGGTACAAGAAAGTGCCATTTCTAAATATTTTTTTATTTATTTTTTTATGTGCATGAGTGTTTTGCCTGCATGTATGTAAGTGCGCATATGTCATGCAGTGCACAGAGAGGCCAGAAGAGCTGCATCAGATGCCCTGGAACTGGAGTTAAGAGACAATTGTTAGCTACCATGTGGGTGCTGGGAACCAAACCTGGGTCCTCTGTAAGAGCAGCCAGTGCTCTTAACCACTAAGCCATCTATCCAGCTCTAAGAAATTGCTATTTCTAATCTCATTAGTAAACCAAAATAACATCTAGATATGAATATCAACTACAAACAAGGATCAGAAAACTGGATTCACATCTATAAAGTAAACATAACTAGTAAAAAGTAAATACAATGCACTTGGTGAAAAGAAGCCACATGGCATCAGTCAGAGAAAGGTTTAACTTGAAATCACAAACCTGATACCAAAGGTCAGGTGTGGTTCAACCCTAACAGAAGAATGCATTCTGGGGTACATTATAGGATATACAAGCTCAAGATAAACAGTATCACACATCCCATTTCAGTATAGATGAAAGATTGCAAACTGGGGGTACAAATTCCTCTACCTAAGAGGAAAGTAGAAATGCCACTTGAAAGCAAAGCATGTTAAACTAGCTGCCACCAGAAGATAGAAGTAACAGCAACCCCTGCCTAATGAACTGAGAACCAGCCAGCTAGCAGCCTTCCAGAACCTGGCTTGCAGATAGGAGAAGCTATGAGAGAAATCAGTGTGAGAAATGTATACCACTCTGGTTTGCTGCCAGCAGGTGACCATGTGAAGAAGGTGCTTAACTTTCAGTTTCAGTTTCTTATAAAATAGAAATCATTTTATCCACCTTGCAGGATTTTTAAAGCATTAGGTAAAATAATTTATGAGAAAGAACCTTATACAGTTCTCTCTATTGAAGGTGTTTCGTTGTTTTTCTCTAAAGGCCCAAATTTGTAGCATTACATTGCAAGAAAATAGGGTCAACCTCTCAAGGTTTTCTTACTTGAGTTAAAGAACTGCTGTGATAAAGAACCTGACCTAAGTTATTTACTGTAAAATCAAACACTACAGTTATGATAGATCTAATTATGCTTACTGGATTGTACAAATATAAGCATTAAATATTAAAATATGCCTTTCTGTATTTTCATGTGGTAAAATTTTCCCTGTTCTCATTTTCAGAAAGGGTATTTCCATCAGTTAAAAATCCCTATTCAAAATTATGTGATAATTTAACTCAAGGTCATTATTAGCACAGATGACCAAACCTGAAAAATACTGTCTTCATGTCAGAGACCTTAAAGAAAGAAGGCTCTACTGGGATTAAAATGCCTTGCAAGAATTGTAACATGAACAGCTCAAGAAATCTTAATTTATAAAAGGTCACAGAGTTACAAAAAACATCTCTCATTTCAACTAATTAAATGAAATTTTAGCTAAACAGCACCTTTAGATATTGGTATTGCAGCTGCAAGTGCATTTAAATAGCATTTACACAGTTATAATTAGCACAATTAAACATGGGTAGAAGTGGAAACACCATTCTTAATTATATTGATATAATCAGTTTTATTAATGCTTTATGGCAACAAAAGTGACATCTGACAGTAGCACACAGTTCACGGCTGAACCTGATATTAAGCATTTTAGCGTATTATGGAATCTAAAGCCAGGTAATTGGGAAAGAAAGAAGTCAGATAATGAGTTCCTACCTGTGACGATGCCATAGTTGGGAGGTTCAAGAATTACTCCATAAAACTGGATGATGTTTCTGTGACTGAGGACACTGAGTATTTCTGCCTGGACAAAAACCAAATACAAAACTGCATGAGATTTCACATTGATAACAGTCTTAGTAAATATGATTCATAGTCAATATTCTTTCACTTACATTTATAAAGATATATGCATACTGATGTTGATAAAACTGTCTTTAGCAGCATGCTCAAGTTAAAATTTTCTATTGAGCCGGGCATGGTGGTGCACACCTGTAGTCTCAGCACTTGTGAGGCAGAGGCAGGCGAATCTCTGTGAGTTCAAGGCCGGCCTGGTCTACATAGTTGAGTTCCAGGACAGCTGGGGCTACAGGGAGACCCTGCTTCAAAAAGACCCAAAAAACCAATTTTTTTTTTCTATTGAACAGCCATGAAAATTTAAAAAGGAAATGTTCAAGTTGAAATGGCAACAAAAGAGGTAGCTACTAATCGGGCCATGCGGCTGACAGTGGAGAATGACAGAAGAGGGTAGAGAGCATATCCATCTTTGGTAAGAGCTCTTTCCTAGTAGACAAATATAGGTTTTCTGCTAATATGTCTTTGGGGACGTTGCAGCAAGCTTGAACTATTGTCTACTCAATGAGTCAAAATTAACTTAGAGGTATTCAAGTACTAATGGAATAGATTCATTTATAGCCTATTATTTATATTATACCCATTTATAGTGTTTCTCCAATGAGTCATTTGAGATATATTATTATTCTATTAAGAAAGCATAAAAGGTGAACTCTTGACCTTAGTTGAAGAGCTAACAGGAGGCCATATTGGTACACTTTGAAAAACATTAGTACTAAAAAACCACTTCTGAGAGTGACATGGCAAAAATAAGTTCCATTTATTAAACTTAATTTTTAAAATGAAAAAAGCCAGTGTATATTTGCTAATAGACAATAAAAGCATACTGTCTACATAAATCACATATATTAAAGTCATTGCTTTCATGGAGACAAAATATGGCTAATGAAAAAAGCCAGTGTATATTTGCTAATAGACAATAAAAGCGTGCTGTCTACATAAATCATATATATAAAAGTCTTATTGTTTTCATGGAGACAAAATATGGCTAATCAAAAAATTTAAATAGGGGCTGGAGAGATGGTTCAGCAGTTAAGAGTACTGGCTGCTCTTGCAGAGGACCTGGGTTTGATTTTTAGCACCCACATGGTGGCTAACAATGATCTGTATGTACAGTTCCAGGGGTCTGATACCCTCTTCTGGTCTCCATAAGCATTGTATGCAAGTGGTGCACTTACATACATGCAGGCAAAGTACTCATACACAAAAAATAAAAATAAATAAAAATTTAAAAAATTAAATGTAATGAAGTATAAGTTAAATATAGGAAAGGTTTACTATTTTAGGTATAAGACATATTACTGGCAATAAAAGGTAGATTTTTAATTCTACAGCTGAAGAGATGAAGAAGAACGTCAATGGTGTGGTCAGAAGGAGCTCCCTCTTTGGGAATCTGCACACTATGAATTAGTGATATATAGTATTTTGCTATATTTTTCCAGAGTAAGAGTTGAGATTTCATTAAAAACATACTCTGGGACTAGAGAGATGGCTCAGCACTTAAGAGCACTGACTGCTCTTGCAGAGGACCTGGGTTTGATTTCAGCACCCACATGGTGGCTATGAACCGTCCTTAACTCCAGTACCAGGGGAATTAGAAGTCTTCTGACCTCTGCGGCATTGCATGACATGGGTGCACTCACATTCATGCAGACAATACACTGATATACATAAAATAAAAATAATTAATAAAATATTTTTTAAAAAACACACTCTGTGACTAGTAACTAGGTAGAAAATAGAGGCTTGAGGGTTGGCATGGGGTTAATATGGACTTGAAAGAAAGGGAAATTATCTTGATTAGATGAGACACTTATCAAAGTTGATTTGACAATGTTTTTCTATTCAGTAAAATAGGTGTTGAAAGCCTTCACTGCTTAACCAAATGATTCCTTAACACACATTAAGTGCCTTCTGTGTGCAGAGGCCCTGTGTTCACCAAGCAACCTCCTCAAAGTTCAGCTCCCTGAATTAGTCAAAACAACTACTCATCTCTGTGGCAATTCTGATTCTCATTAGGAAATAATAAAAGAACTCTGTTACAAAAGAGTGCATGGGAAGTTTGGAAATATCCTACTTTTAAAGTGACAGATCAGCTCTGTGAGCACAGCATTGGGACTCCTTATGAGTAAAGCACTAGAGCAAATGTTTGTACCAGCACCTGTCAAGCCGGGAAAGGAGCATCTTTTGGTATACTCTTTGGGGTATGTGAGTTCTGTGAGCATCAAAACATCTTGTTATCAATAAAGAATAAACATGGGACTACTGTGAATCCTTTATATCTCCCTTATACATTAATATCCTTATACATCAGCAGGACAGGCCATTTCAGTGCTTCACCTGGTTCTCAATTTACACCTAAGACATTGCCAAGTGATACCTTGAGACAGGAATTGTCTTTTTAGGATTTGGTAAACATGTTTAATAGCTCACTGGCAAGCAAATGCAAATGCAAGAAATAACCAGTGTAATATATTCTAGTGCTTTAGTTTAATTTTTTCATGATGAAGACACAATCATTCTTTTGAAGAATAATTGACAAGTAAAAGAAACTTCTGGAATAAGACTCTAGGCTCTTGTTTAAAAATTAAGAATCTGATTCAGCAACATGAAAACAACACAGTGTAGGAGTGCTGTACTAGTTACACGGAGATAGACTAATAACAAACAGGCAGTCTGAGTAAATAAAGGTCAAGTGATAGGAGGTCATTAGCAATTGAAACAAGTACCAATAGAAGCAGTGGGTTGAGTACTGGAACCCTGTAGCAGCATCTGACAGTGAGGCACCTGCTTGCAACAGCTGGTAATGAAACTACTCCAGTAAATGTGCAATAAATGTGTTTTCATTAAATTGTTGCTTTTCTATTGTTTTCCAGAGTTGGATTCTGGGATAGTCAGCAAGGACTGTTTTAAAATTAAGTTCATTGTTAAAAAGAAATATTATGAAGGATGAAACAATGGTCCATCAAGCCAAAAATTATAACTTTTTACACTATTAAACTAACACAAGCCATTTTCATTAAATATAATTGATGAAAACTTTTAATTTTAATTGTATTGATTTTGTAATTTTATTTTTATTTAATTTAAAAGTTGATTTTGAGCTTACAAGTACATAAAAGCTGTAAGGAATTACTTCTTAGTTTCATCTTTGTGTACTCTTAAGTTACACTGAAATACTAATTTTAATCAATAATTGAAATACAGAAGACTCAATTTTTCTATATGAAGGACTCGACACCTTACTTTGCAAAACACTTGTTGGGACTCAAATAGACACTTGTGCCTAGTGTTCATAATTGTCCACAATACCCCAAAATGGAAAAGAACCCACATGTTCACCCACTGACAGGTGGATAAACAAAAACAAAAAAACATAGAAATACAATGCAGTATTGTTTCAACCAAAAAATAAGTCAAATTCTAACACATGTTCTAAAGTCACCTTTCTTTAAAGGAAAATTTACATGGATGAAACTTGAAAAACACTATGTGAGATAAGCCAGACACAAAGAAACAAATATTGCCAGTTCCACTTGTCTGAAATGCCTTGAACAGGTACATTCAGAAATGAAGTAGGCAGAGAAGAGGCTAAGAGGCACTGGGAAGGGGAGGGAATGGGAAACTTTGCTTCATGATTACTGTTTGTCAGGGTGAAAGAATTTTTTGAAAACATTACAGATGATGGTGAGAGATGGAAAAAACTGAATATAATTAAAGTCATTGAATCTGACACTCAAATATAGTTAAAATGGCAAATTTTATGCTGTGTAGCTATTTTACTACAATAAAAAAGTTTAAAGAATTCTATTCCAGAGTCTTGTTGAAATGAATTATCAGTATGTATATTCAGTAATCATCCTGACGTCATAACAAGGCACTGTCTACATGTCCTTGGAGAAGAGAAATAAGTAACTTTCAAGGTTGACGATTTAGTGAAGTGTTTGGACAGATTGCCACAATTTTAATGCAAGCTCTAAGATACTCCAATCTGACATATCAATGGAATAGCCAAAAGTCTGTCCATAAAAATGTCTGATAGGAACTGCTGTAACAAAAATGCCTGCAGTGAAAAAATGGGTTTGCTCTTACTGTTTCCAGCTGAGGCCAGTTCCTTCTGCCCTTCTCTCTCTCTCTCTCCTTCCTTTCATCTTTCTTACTGTTTTGTTTTAAGGAGACAGGAAGAGTTTGAGAGAAGGGCACTATGTAGCCCAGGCTAGCCTCAAACTGCCAAGCCTTTTAACTCTAAGTGGTAAGACTACAGTTGTGATACCATACCCAACTCCTCCTCTCACTTTCTTTCTCCCTTCCTCTTCACCTCCTCTCTCATGCTTGTCCATGTGCATGTGTGAAGGCCAGAAGACAACCTTGAATGTCATTCCTCAGGTGCCATGTACCTTGTTTTTTGAGACAAGGTCTCTCATTGGCCTGAGACTCAACAAGTAGCCAGTTAACCTGAGGACCCTTCTAGCACTGGGACTAAAAAGTGCACACCAGCACACCCAGTTCTTTATGCAGACTCTAGGGATCAAATTAAGGTTCTCATGCTTACAAGGCAAGTACTTTACTGACTGAGCCTTCTTCCCCAGCCCACCATCTTTCTTTAAAGGAAAATTTACAGAGGAATTTTAGTTTGCTAATAAATCTGTAGAAGAGATCCTTATTTTGCTGTTTATGTTTTTGTCTATTTATTTTTTTTCTCTAGCCTTCCCACATGTTTCTGTGTCATTAGCTGTTTGTGGTGTTTCCTGAAGTCAGCTAGCACACAGGTTCCAAATGACTGCTTCATTCAGAAATATTAAGAAAAGTTGAATATTTTAATTCTCTTCCTTTAGCCAAGTATGGCAGTGCAAGCCTTTAATCCCAGCACTCAAAGGCAGAGCATCAATAATATCTGAAAGATGAATAAACAAGCAGTATTTGATGATGATAACATTCAGTGTTGTGATG